TAGGGGGGCACTATATAGGGAGCATTGCATGAGGGCATTGCACGGGGGGTGCTGTATAGGGGGCACTGCACGGGAGGGTATTGCATGTGGGCACTATGCAGGGCCGGTGGCCTGCCGGGAGCACTGCCTGCGTGGGGCTGCGAGGTGGCAGCAGAGCAGGAAGAGGAGAGACCGGGCTGAAACGGAGCAGGAAGCTGCTGCTAAAGGCTGGGGCGCCAGGGCGCGTGTTACTGCTGGCACAACAGGGCCGGGGCAGCAACATGCCTCCAGCTCTAGCTGTCCTTGCCAGCGGCACCCACTTGCCGCGTGGCCCTGCCATGCTGTGAGCTGTGTGCTGGCATGCTGTGCTGTGTGTGTGCCGCGTGCCGTGTGCGCCCGGTGCTCTGTGTGTGCATGCCGTGTGCTATGCGCTGCGCTATGTGTACGCCTGCCATGTGCTATGCAGCGTGCTGTGTGCCATGCAGTGTGCTCTGCGTGCCTGCACCATGCTGCGTGTGCTACACAGCGTGCTGTGTGTGTGCCTGCAGCGTGCTGTGCTACGCAGCACGCTCTATGTGTGCTATGCTGCATGCTATGCGTGTGCCGTGCAGCGTGCTGTGTGTGTGCATGCTGCGTACTGTGTGCTTTGCTGTGTGCTGTGTGCCATGCAGCGTGCTGTGTTTGCATGCTGTGCTGTGCCATGCAGCGTGCTGAGCGCGTGCTATACAGTGTGCTGTGTGTGCAATGCCATGTGCTGCGTGTATGCATGCCGTGTGCTGTGCAGCGTGTGCAATGCCATGTGCTGCACGTATGCATGCTGTGTGCTGTGTGCTGTGCAGTGCTGTGCGTGCAATGCCATGTGCTGCATGTGTGCATGCTGTGTGCTGTATGTGCAATGCTACGTGCTGCGTACAATGCCACGTGCTGCATGTGTGCATGCCGTATGCTGTCCGTGTGCAATGCCACATGCTGCGTGCAATGCCACATGCTCTACGTGCATGCCGTGTGCTGTGTGTGCAATGCCACGTGCTCTATGTGCATGCCGTGTGCTGTGTGTGTGCCATGCCACATGCTGCATGCAATGCCACGTGCTCTATGTGCATGCCGTGTGCTGTGTGTATGCAACGCCACATGCTGTGTGCAATGCCACGTGCTCTGTGTGCATGCCGTGTGCTGTGTGTGCCATGCCACATGCTGTGTGCAATGCCACGTGCTCTGTGTGCCTGCCACGTGCTGTGCGTGTGCAATGCCACGTGCTGCGTGTGCGCACGCCGTGTGCTGTGTGCGCTGTGCAGCGCGCTGTGTGCGTGCCATGCACCACTCTATTGATCACAGCTGACACATTTCTGGATCAAGCTGCTCC